CTTCAGTTACCTACCCTCAGAGCTTACATTACAATATTTCTCGCGCAGCGCAAACAATAATGATCCTTCTCTTAGGATGCGTTTTGAGTCAACTGTATCAGTTTCGATAAGGGAACAGGGAACGGCCCGAGAAAACAAGCAACAACTCTAACATCCATCAAAAGAAATGACTAGGAACTCTGAGCAACCTCAAAGACATTCACGCTAATTTTGGTGTACACAATTCTGAAAGATATTTCCCTAAGGACAATATGACACTCTTCTACGTCTTGGTAAGTGAAGGTCCATGTAGAAGCAAAATTTGTAAAGCCAGGAAGACAGAAACGGGTCCACATTTGATGCAGCGACGATTTCGGGTAATTTTTAGGCGTAAAATAGGAATTTTTCCTACTAAAAGTGGATTTTTGCTTCCCACTGGTCCCTGCAGCGTTCCCCAGGGTGCCTCCAACTCTCAAATCTTTATAGAACACTCGTGCAAAGCGCCATACCGGGGTCAGAAGGTGCAAGGTTCAACCGCTTACAGCCCTGACTATTAAGATTTTGATAAACGAACTTGATCAGTAAGGGAGGGTGGGGCAGTTTGAAACAGGGGCAGTTTGAAACAAACACCAATAGATATTAAAGCAATTAGGGCTGCCGAAGGAAATGTGAGTGTGTACAATCTTCTATTTTCATGATCTGACTGATTTGCGATCGACACGGTCGCCAACCGTGCACTTAAGTGGCCTTGAAAACAAGGTGAAACTTCGGTACCATTGAAATTGGCCTAAACTTAAATTTCTAAGTCACGGGAGTTTCCGTCTGGGTTTCGCTAGTAAGCAATCATCTCCCGCGCACTTACTTCATCTTTTAGTACCATATTAGACAAACGTAACGCACCCTCGGACACTGACGTAGCCCTCACCAAGTCCGGCGGGGAGCAGCACAATTGGTATGGTGCCCTCTGGGGCAGTTTGAAACAGAAGTGGATGGGGCAGTTTGAAACACAGCAATATCACCAGAAAAAACGTTTTTGGCTGAGCGATAGCGAAGCCTGTTATTGGCTGAGCGATAGCGAAGCCTGTTACTCCAGTGGGGTTGAAAAGTTTTGTCTGTCTGTCTGTCGGTCTGTGTGTCTGTGTGTCCGCACTACTCCTCCTGAACGGCTCTGCCGATCTCGGTGAGATTTTGCACACTTCTTGAGTATGTCCTTGGCTCGGCACACGCGAAATTTCACCATCCTAGCTCAACTGGTTCAGTTTTTATAGGCGAAAAACACCTAAAAAACGGCGAAAAATAGAGATTTCTGCAGATAGACCACTTCTGTCTTTGAGAAAGGGGGGTCTGGGGGCGGAGCCCCCCAGGTACTACAAGTTAAAAAGTGACAAGGGTCAAGATCGTGTTATCTGTAGATAAAACAACTCTATTTAGAATGTAGGGGGGTCTGGGGGGCGGAGGCCCGCAGCGTTCAACAAGTTAAAAAATAACCGACAACGGACAAGCCATTGCCTGCCGCAGGCAGGCTAGCGCCGCAGGCCAAGGTAGGTACGCCAGGCGTGGATTGGAGGAACAGGCAGCGAGACATCGCGAAGCCTGTTACGACAAGACGCGGTCTGGCGTAAACCTACCTTGTATATTATGGAAAGCGAGCATAATGATGGAAGTTCGTAATTCCAGATGGCATCAATGAAGACATTGTATGTTTGACCCGTGACTTGCATCAAAATGCAACATTTATAGACTACTATTGCATGTTGTGAACTTTGCGGGCAGGAAAAGGCCTTCATTTCAACTCCAAAACAGTAATGTGTGTTAACAACTTTTGTTCGTCTCTTTGAGACGAATCCATTGCCATACAAATTTTTGAAAAATTCGCATTTTGAAAAATATGCTTTTTTGGCTTTTTAATTATTATTAAAAATGTTTAAAAAGTTCGTCAAAATGTCAGCACTTGCATGGCAACGTCTTTTTGAGTCTGCTTGAATCTATTTGAGTTGTGTACGCGGCTCTTCTTGGCCCGTGTTGACTTCCATACAGCTGTTTCAAACTGCCCCATCGCTGTTTCAAACTGCCCCGGCCTGGGGCAGTTTGAAACAGATGCAAGGGTTGGAGTTTCACCTTATTGGCTGAGCGATAGCGAAGCGTTACTCCAGTCGGGTTGAAAAGTTTTTCATGTCCACTGCAAAAAAAGTTCTGAAATTTAAGACATGAAAATGTCTTAAATTTAATAACATTTTGAAATGATATGAAAACTCAGAAAAGTTGGTGAAAAGTGCTATACTTTATTACATTTACCAAAACTAAACTGAAAAGTAATAAATAGTTGGTAAATTTCAAAACCACTTTTAAAACTTAGGAACAGGGTTGTCAAAATTAAGATTGCCTGCCAAAAGTAAAAATTGGTTTCTTAAAATCCACATGACTGATGACTTTTCAAAACTAGATTTGAAACTAACTGATTGAAGTTAAAGTTGAACGCTTCAGTGATTGCTGTCACATTCAACGTAAACCGTAGTTTGATTACTTCACGCTAACTGTCGACAAGCCACTTCTCACACGGTATGGCCCACAGTCAGCCGCTGGGTTCAAGGTCAGGTTTCACAGACCTGCCGCTAGGTGGCGCTTAGAGCGCCGTGTCCGTTCCCGAATAAGTATTTCCTATTTGTATTTCTAAAAGAACTTCTTTTGGCAAATGATACCATCTGTTGCCTTAGTAAATGTCTTCTCTAGCCGCTAGCTCAAATTTTTTTAACAAAATATTCCACTGGAGTTGAGTAAAACGCATAACCATGTTGCCACTCGCTGGCGTCTGCTGTCGGCCATTAGGTTAGGTCCAGGCACCTCCTCCGCTGTTGCACAGTCGGAAGGTGGCAGATATACAATTCTCAGGTCTTCGACCTCCGACTAATTTTTGACAACCGTCACTGTTATGTGACACGATGTAGGATGCATTTCAGAATTCTGACATCCACACTCGAAATCGGACGTCGGTATATAAGTTATTTTCTCCCACTTTAGTCAAATATGTTTATGAATTTTAATAAACCATGATCTATGAATTTTAAAAACTTGGTCATTAGTTTTAAGAGGAGAAAGTTTCTTACTTTTAATAGCAAAAAATCTTTGTAAACTGCTTCACAAACTAGTTTCTTAAAATTAAGATGGATTTTTTTTGCAGTGTCTGTCTGTCTGTCTGTCTGTGTGTCCGCACTACTCCTCCTGAACGGCTCGGCCGATCTCTGTGAGATTTTGCACACTTTTTAGGTGTGTCCTTGGCTCAACACACGCGAAATTTCACTGCCCTAGCTCAACTGGTTCAGGTTTAATAGCCGAAAAACACCTAAAAAACGGCGAAAAATCGAGTTCTCTGCAGACAGATCACTTCTGTCTTGGAGATGGCAGGGTCGACATGAGCCCCATCCCGATTGAGCCCCGACGACCTGAGCCCCGACCAGAGCCCCGTTTGAGCCCGACTTGAGCCCCGACTCGAGCCCCGACTGAGCCCCGATGGCCAGAGCCCCGACCTGAGCCCGGTTTGAGCCCCGACCTGAGCCCCATTTGAGCCCCACTTAAGCCCCACGCCAAAAAACTTCCATTTTTGAACTTTTTTAGTGAAGATTTTGCGTCATATTGCAACTTTTTTGACGCGGGGCTCAAATGGGGCTCAAACGGGGCTCAGGTCGGGGCTCAAACCGGGCTCAGGTCGGGGCTCTGGCCATCAGGGCTCAGTCGGGGCTCGAGTCGGGGCTCAAGTCGGGCTCAAACGGGGCTCTGGTCGGGGCTCAGGTCGTCGGGGCTCAATCGGGATGGGGCTCATGTCGACCCTGCCATCTCCAAGACAGAAGTGATCTGTCTGCAGAGAACTCGATTTTTCGCCGTTTTTTAGGTGTTTTTCGGCTATTAAACCTGAACCAGTTGAGCTAGGGCAGTGAAATTTCGCGTCTTGTCGTAACAGGCTGACGTGTGTGTCCTTGGCTCAACACACGTGTGTGACGTCACGTTCGTTTTCACGAGATAACGGCGATGTTAGTGACATGCTCAATTTGTCATGTTCCTCTGAATGTGACAGGCCATGATTGTCGGATTATGGGGTGTCACGTTCGTTTCAATGTGACATCAGGCACGTCACATTGGAACGAATGTGACAGTTCACGTGTGTCACATTCGTTTGGATGTGACACGACATAAATCAGGAGGTACTATGTGCCACATTCGTTTTGATGTCTTGGTCCGGCATGGGGACCGTCCCGGCTGGGACCATTCTAAAAACGGGGACACGTTTGGGGACCAATTTTGCCGGGGGCGAATCGTTTGCGGACCCAAAAGTCCTTGGGACGAATTTTCGGGGACGAATTGTCCGTCCGGATCCCCTCCTCCCGGTCGGCGGCCAAATAGAGGCGTCTGACTGAACTCCCAAATGCTAGGCCGATAAGGGTTGACTTGTCCGACACTTCGATTTGCAGTGCATTATGAGACGTCCAGTTTTAATACTTAATTTAGGTAAAATAGTAAAAATATACTTGAGCGCACAGTATAAAAATATTTTCCTTTAATCTTGTTCTAAATTGTACATAGCTTAGCTTCGTTAGCTTACTCTACAAATCAAAGAGTGTACATGGTACGCTCTAACTGGAGCATGCCTGCAAGCACGCTCTAGCTAGCGCATGCCTGCCAAGCATGCACTAACTAGTGCATACATGCCATGTACACGCTTCCTGATGCAGAAAACTCCCTATCCCTTATGCAATAAATGTATGCTTCAGTTAGCGTGTACATGGCATGTATGCACTAGTTAGTGCATGCTTGGCAGGCATGCGCTAGATAGAGCGTGCTTGCAGGCATGCTTCAGTTAGAGCGTACCATGTACACTCTTTGATTTGTAGAGTATGCATATCACGATTGTACAATCGTCATCGACTATGAAAGCACCTATGACTCCGCACACCTAAACATTTAGTGCGATCTCAGCGATTCTGGGATACGGGTTCCCTTAAAACCAAAATATTGGAATTTTGTTTCAGAGTGCCGGCAAGAGCTCCGTCCTGGAGTCCCTGGTCAAGAAGTCGTTCCTGCCTCGCGGTGCGGGCCTCGTCACTCGCTGCCCGCTGGTGCTCCATCTACACCACTGCCCCATCGGCGACTCTCGACGAAAGAGTATGGACTTCGTGCTGACTCGTCTTCACTATGCACAGCAAGCTGACTAAACACACTACGTTTCACACTAAATTACTATGGAGGTTTTTCTGCGCGTCAATGCACGAAATTAAACATGCACTTCGTAACGCACGAATTTGTTTGCGATTTCGTGCGGGAGTATGCACAAAATCCTGCATTGTTGCGCACAAATTTGTGCGTTAACGTGCATGTTTTATTTCATGCATTGGCGCGCAGAAAAAAACCTACTTGGTAATTTAGTATGTACTATGTACTATTTTGTGCACAAGCTTTGCACAGAATCGTGCACGAACTGCCAATCCAAGTGTGAGACAGTCTCACACTTGTAGGTGTGGGACATTTTGTCTCACGCTTCCGTGTGTGAGCCACGTTTGTCTCACGCTTGCAAGTGTGAGACACGGTTTGTCCCACACTTGCAGGCGTGGGACCCGTGGCATTGAAACACAGAGCTAGTGGAGGCAGCAAGTGTGGGACAAGCTGTGCCTGACACTTTCAAGCGTGAGACAAGCTGTGTCTCACACTTGCAAGCGTGAGACAAACGTGGCTCACACTTGTAAGCGTGAGACAAAATGTCCCACACCCACAAGTGTGAGACTGTCTCACACTTGGATTGGCACATTGGTAGAACTCAAGCGTGCTTTTACGCCTTTCTTCAAGCGTAGTAGAACTACGCTCGGCTTCAAGCGTAGTTCTCCATTTCGCCCCACTCCCGCCTATCTAAATGCATGGGAGGATTTCTTCTCTATGCTTGACGTCAAGCGTAAAGTCTTCAAGCGTACCGTAAATGGGGATGTTGGCCACAGGTAACTTTGGCCCAAAACAAAAAGTTTAAAACAGGGTTTTATCGGTGAGTGTAGAGTGTAATATCTGAAATGAGGTTAACTAAGAAATACTGTTTGCTCCAGACATATGCCTATTTTGGGTAGCCATTTTGCACTCTAAGATTTTCTATTTTCAACATGTGAAAAACTTTGTGCTTATCTGAGGCGCCGAACATAGCGTCGATTAGTCCCGTGGTATGAAAGTAGGCAAATTGTCCAATTTGAAAAAGGCGGTCTGATGACTTTCTCCTTCTTGTCGTGGGTCTAATTTGTGGGGTGATGAAGCAGAAGGCATCAAAGTAAGTGGGCAAAGTAGGCACGGTACTTTCCCCCCATTTAACGTTCAGGCTATAATACTATGAAGCATTCTGTGGCACACTTAACAGGACTGAATCATACTTGAATTCAATTTTGCAGGTATCTCCGTAGCCGCTTTCAAAGGGGAATGGGCCCAAAGTAGCCCCGGTTTAAGGTAGTTGTATGCTTGAATAAAGCATACAACTACGCTCCAGTTTTACCAGTGCAGTGTAGAGTGTAATATCTGACATGTAGGTAACGTAATTGGAAAACTGTTTGTTCTAGACATAGACCTTGAAGAGTGGGGCACATTTCTGCATGCTGAAGATTGCATTTTCAACATGGAGGACATTTGTACGGAAATTGAGGCCCGGACAAGTGTGATAGCGGGATCCAACAGAGGCATCGTCCCGTCTGAAATAACTCTGAATGTTTTCTCCCCTCACGTCGTGGACCTAACTCTAGTGGACCTGCCGGGCATCACCAAGGTGCGTGGCTATGGCACTCCTCCTTCCTACTCACTAAATTACTATGAAGCACTGTGGCAAAAAGGTACGGAAAATTCTGTTAATTTTTTTGCCAGGATTCTCCGTAGCCCTCTTATCAATATTCTCCGTAGGGCCGCACAGTATTCTCTGTAAGTCCGCACAGTTTTCTCCGTAGGACCTGGAAGACTGTATAGTCCTACGGAGATCACTGTAAGGTTTTACGGAGAATACTGCACTCAGATTCCAAACGCTATGAGTATAGCACGTATGGTGCAATGCAGCTGGGATATCGCACCACACGTGCAATGCGATAGCCATATTGCACCGTACGTGCAATGCGTCCCGAAAAGGCCCTATGCAAGTGCATGGGAATGGGGAGGCATTGCACTTCATGTACAATGCTTTTGCATTGCACCAACTGACGCTACACTCATAGCGTTTGGATTCTCAGTGTGTGCGGTCCTACGGAAAATACTGTAAGAGCCTGCGGAGAATATTGATAAGGGGGCTACGGAGAATTACCACAAGCTGTTTACAGAATTTTCCGTAGCTTTTTGCCACAGTGAGGTTTTTCTGCGCGCCAATGCCCGAAATTAAACATGCACTTCGTAACGCACGAATTAGTGCGCGATAATGCATGATTTTCTGCATATTTGCGCACGAAATCGTGCATTGTCGCGCACAAATTCGTGGGTTACGAAGTGCATGTTTAATTTTGTGCATTGGCGCTCAGAAAAACCTACAGAGTAACTTGGTGTGTATTAGAGACCTAGAGGCTCATAGGTCTCTACTTCCTACCTGTTGCACCCCGTTTAGAATTTGGCACAAACTTGGCTACGATAGTGAGAAGTCCTTGGTTATGATGTAACCGGTCGTGATCTGGGAGTTCACTCGCCGAAAAACAAAATGTCTGGCCAATTCTTTGCCTGAACCGTCGGTGCAAGTACGGAGGTTCTGTGCATGTTTCCAGTTTCCCGTTCCAGTTTGCTTGAAATCCTTATGAGGACGACGGGCAACCAGTAGGGAAAGTCCATACTGCTGCCGTATTAAAACTATAGATTTTGTTTTACAGTATATTATTTAGACCCACTCTCTAAATGTTGTGTGTGTGTCAGTTCGTTCAGCGACACTTTTCGTGGTCAGTTCCCGCACTAAATTTTGAGCTGAGCCTCCAGTCTTTGTGCGTGAAAATCAAAAGAACATGCCCCACATCGTGTAGAATTCTTTGCGTCTTGTTTACATGCATAATGCCTGCACTTAAAATATCTTCGGAGTGGGCCGGCCTACACTCTACAAAAAATGTCCTGTCAACGCCGTTTATTTATTACCAATGTTTGCTGTTATGCAATTCACGGCGTTTGCTGTGAACTAGTTCACGGCGTTCACTGTGATCTCGGTCACAGTGTTCACTGTGATCTGGCCACAGTAAACGCCGTGAATTGGAGCCTGATTTGCAGTACTTCGGTGCTCAGCGGCGTCAAACTCACAGTGTTTACTGGGGACCAGATCACAGAGAACACCGTGAACAAGATCACAGTGAATCCCGTGAGCAGATCACAGTAAACGCTGTGAATTGACCTACAGTGAAAACTGGTAATAAATTAACGGCATTTACAGGACATTTTTGGTAGAGTGTAGTATTTGTGTCACTTGATCGAAGAGGCGAAAGATATGTGTATTGACGGTCATTAATATCATTTTTTAAATCTTTTTCAGAATCCCGTAGGGGATCAACCTAAAGACATCGAAGCTCAGATAGAACACCTCATTAATCACTACATCAGTAACCCTTTGACCATCATTTTGGCGGTGGTGACTGCCAACGTGGACATGGCTAACAGTGAGAGCTTGAAACTGGCGCACATGGTGGACCCGGAAGGCGAGCGCACCCTAGCTGTGGTCACCAAGATCGACTTGATGGATGAAGGTAATTGTTTTGAGACATTACAATGTTCATGATCACCGTACTCGGAATTTTGTGTTTACTGCACTTCAGTACATATCCGTACACACTAAATCTCATGGGACTTTTTTTGTCCACCACGAATTGATGCAATTTTAAGTACACTCGACAAATCGAAGAGCGTACATTGTATGCTCGGACTGGAGCATGCCTGCAAGCACGCTCCAGCTAGAGCATGCTTGCCAAAGCATGCACTTACTAGTGCATACATGCCATGTACACGCTAACTGAAGCATGCATCTAGTGCATAAGGGATAGGGAGTTGCCTGCATCAGGAAGCGTGTACATGGCATGTATGCACTGGTAAGTGCATGCTTGGCAAGCATTCGCTAGCTAGAGCGTGCTTGCAGGCATGCTCCAGTTAGAGCATACAATGTACGCTCTCCGATTTGTAGAGCATCCGATGGTGATGAGTCCACCAGGTGGGACAAATTGTCTTATGAAAGTACAATTTGCAGCAGGCGTCGGATAAAATGTATCGCCAGGCGGGAACAAAATTGTATCAGCGTCGGATCACTGCAAAGCCAGTGGTAAGTTTGCTTGCCACATATTTGGCAAGCCGTTTTGAATTCCAAAATTTTGAAAGTTTCGGTCGGAAATCTTCATTAGCTTGCCAAGTTTTGGCAAGCTGGGGAGTATTGCCGGGCTAAGCTTGCCAATTTTTGGGCATTCAAAACCGCTCACCAATTTTGAGGCAAGCAAACTTACCACTGGCTTTGCAGTGATATGCTTAAAATTACGACCCTTGGGACTAAAAATGTCCCATGACATTTAGTGTGTACCATACTTTGAAACAAAGTCAAAGCAGCACCTGCAAATGCCCACAATGGTCTGTGCTCTGAGAACCTTCATCAGCTTGCCAATATTTGGCGCTGCGGCCGCCTGCATTGCCAAATTTTGACAAACTGGGGGTTGTGAAGGACATGAACTCCAAGGCACTGTTTTGTCACTAACCTGGTGGCAATCTTTTTAAAGGGACGGATGCGAGGGACATCCTCAACGGAAAAATAATTCCAGTAAAACTGGGAATTGTAGGAGTGGTAAATAGATCTCAGAAAGATTTAGATGAAAAGAAGGTAATTATCTCGGTAAAAACTGAATCTCATGGGCTTAGTATACACAGAAATAACCTCTCATCGATTGTATGCGTTACATATTGTTTCAGACGGTCGAAGATACGTTTGTGAAGGAAAAGAAATTCTTTGAAGAGAAGTACAAGGAGATTGCCTCTAGGACAGGCTCACCTTATTTGGCCAAGAAACTCAGTAGCTTGCTGTCGGCCCATATCGACAAGTGCCTACCTGACGTTGAGGTAAAGTAGTTCAACATCATCTTTCTGTGTCCTAGGGAACCCTGTTTTGAAGTTTAAACTTCTTGTTGAAAAATATTATGATAAATTTTTCTTCTTGCAGGACAAAATCCGAATAGAAATTATTCGGTGCTCCAAGATTATTGACGAGTGCGGTGACTTAGTAACGGACAAACCGGCAACTCTAATGAGCTTCATAAACAAATTCAGTCAGAACTTCTCCTCGCTGTGTGAAAAAGGTTCTCAGAATCTTGAATCGTTGAAGCTGTAAGTACATATTCAACTACAGTATAGCATCGCAGCTGGACACTGAGAATAAGGGTCTTAAACAGGACTAAAATTTTGGGGGTGGTATTCTTCATAACCAAAATTTGAGTGAGAATTTCTCATCGAAATTTGGGTGCCATACCATCATCCAAATTTAGGCGGTAAAGTGTACCTGCTCCAAATGAACTGTATTGATTGAGACTCTTTCATTCTCAATGGACATTTTCCACCCAGCGACGAAAGGGGTGCAAAAAGTATGTAACGACGTGAATTTCGGAAGGGAGTATTCAAGCTGAGAGAAATATACTCGAGTGGAAGTCAAAATTTATAGTTTACTGGCTCTGATTAGAGCCCAAATGTCCATACTTTTGTGGAGAAATAATTTTAACTTGCCAATAATGAAGCGGAGTACTTAAAACATTGCTGCAGTGAGAATGCGAACGCCGTGAATAGTAAAAGGTAGGTGTACGCCAGACCGTGTCTGGTCGTAAAAGGCTTCGCGATGCTGCGCCAGTTTCGACCATTCACGCCTGGCGTGTACACCTACCTTGGCCTGCGGCGCTAACCTGCCTCCGGCAGGCTGCTTCCCTAGGCAGGCCGTAGAAATGGGCTTGATCCCGTCAAAAAATTGCATTTGGTCATCAAAATCTACACCAATGGGATTTAACTTTCGGTCGGTGGCCCGAACGGGTTCTATTTTCGTCATCAGCAGCCTCAAAAACATATGAAACGATATGAAACTTGACTAAAAGTTGAAAGTACCTAAAAAGTTGTCTTTTTTCTGCCGTTTTTGAAGTGTTTTTTGGCTATTATGTCCGAATGGATTGAGATAGAAAGCTGCATTGTGGTGTGTGGCGAGCCAAGGACATATCTAATGACCATGCAAAATCTCAGCCAGATCGGCCGAGCCGTTCAGGAGGAGTAGTGCACACACACACACACGCACGCAGACAGACAAACAGACAGACAAAACTTTTCAACCCCACTGGAGTAACGGGCTTCGCTATCCCTCAGCCAATAAAGTCAATCAGTGCAATGCTTTTGAATTGCACGTGCAGTGCAATGTCTTCCCATTCCCATGCATTAGCATGGGGCATTGTCGGGACGCATTGCACGTAAGGTGCATGGCTATGGCTGCACGTATGGTTCGATATATCAGTGCATTGCACCATACGTGCTATGTTCATAGCGTTTGGAATCTCAGCGTGGACAGGAAAAGTTGCCTGGCAGTATTTGAGCGCACGCGAATGGAATACCCCTCAACGAAAGCACGGAGTCGGCAAGCCAAATCGCTTGCCACGCAATCCGGCTAATTGTCCCACGAGTTGTGCAAATTTGAAGCACATCCGACGGAGAAAGCCTTTTGTTTCTGCATGGCGACACGTCCTATGCCTTCTGAAAATTGTACTTTCATTGGACAGTTTGTTTTGCCTGGTGGACAACGAGGTGGCCTGGGTGTGCTTCAAATTTGCATAACTCGTGGAACAAAAAATTTCCCATGGCATTTAGTGTGTAGCAAAGCAAAACGTATCTTAAGTTAATTACACGTGACGATTTTTTTGCAGGACTGGTGGCGCCAAACTGTGTGACATTCTCCACAGTGGACTGGAGAAGGTCTTCGCTAACTGCGAACCTTGCAAATCGTACACCATCGATCAAGTTGTCATAGCCCTTAGGCAATCCAATGGTCTCAAGCCACCATTCTTCGTGTCCGAGTTGGCTTTTGAAATGTTGATCAAACCTTTGATCAAGGATATGGAGACACCTGCTCTCGAATGCGTGGAGGCCGTTAAGAAGGAGCTGGGAAACATGTGCCACCTCAGCGTCCCCGAGCAGCTGAAATTCCGCTTTCCCCAACTCAAGCAAGCGCTGGTGAAAGTCTTACTGGAAATCGTGGAGAAAAGAGGACAGAAAGCAGTACAGATGGTAAACATGTAGAACACTTTCGTCACCACTGTTTTAGTGTGGCCAAGATAGGGATTTTATTGACAGAAATATTACGATTACGTGTTTCATTATGTTTGTGCCACTTGAAGGAACACGGTGAAAAATGGTTCCCGGCTTTCCCGGGCGCAGCCTATAGTAACTTTACTTCATAGGCATTGGCGATTTCCAGGGAAATCCTGGGAAAGCCAGGAACCCCTTACTAAAATAGGAGTCCTGTTTCAGATCCCTATTTAGTCCTGTTAGGGAGTGAAAGAGGACTTTTGAAAGCCCGTTTTAGTCCTGATTTGGAAAAGTCCCGATCTGGTCCCGTTCTGCCGAGTCGGTAATTCTACGCAAACCTCTGAAACTTAAAGAAATTCACTAGATAGGGTAGATATCATGTTCAGATTTATCGGCTACACAGCATCTGACAAATGTATCGCTTGCATAATTGCCGAAAACTAGGCGATACGCGTCTATTCGGTTTGTAATCGGCACGCTTCGAGAGCCCTCGCAGGCGCTCTGAAATGGGATTACCTCGCCGAAGAACGGTGGTAAAGACGGACTTTGCGACAGTCCGGTTTCCCGGGATTTCCCGGCCACCCCAAAATACCGGAAATGATGATTTTCGGGACTGAACTGGGATTTCACTTCGGGACCGAAAAAGGACTTTTGGAAAAGGGAAAGAAAAGGGAGTCATCATTTTTGCACGGTACCCGCTTATGCCGTGACAAGAACGACTCATACTGTACTCAGCAATACAGTATTGCTATAAGTGTTTCTCTAACTTGTCTCTTTCAGATTCGGGATTTAGTGGCAATTGAGATCGGCCATATTACATATTACCGAATCGATGTTTTGAAAGAAGAATTTAAAAACATCATGACAGCAGCTGAGCCAGCAAACAAATGTAATGCGCCGAGTTTGCCCTTCCAGGCGGGAAATCTACGGAAACAACTGGAGAACGAGTTAAACCAAGGAGATGAGATTCAATTGGCTGAAATTTCTTCTCAGCTGAACTTGTTGGTGTTGTCTGAAAAGGACAGGAGACACATCATCATTCTAGGTAAGCCTTAGCTGGCAGAACGAAACACTCAGTAACACTACAAAATCAGCATACGAGTGCTTTGTACGCCGCTGTGGGATTATACATACAAGCATACATCTATAGAACCTGTGCACTTGGGCAAGCATGCATTTGTAAATGTTTACTCGGGCAAGCATGCATCTATAGCTGTGTAGTTGGACAAGCACACGCATTTATACTCTACAAACTAATGTGAACTCAGTATGCTTCTACAGATCTACAGATGCATAATTGCAAGTACACACCTACGGACGGATGCACACTTAGCTCAGTGCACATGTACAGATGCATACTTGGATTAGTACACATCTACAGATGCAGAGACGTGCACAGGTTAGGTGTGAACTCTTCCAAGTATGCATCTGTAGATGTGTACTCGCAGCTAAGTATGCATCTGAAGATGTGCACTCATCCAGATACGCATCTTCTAAAGGTGCCAAATTACACTTATTTCTTGATGACGAATGTTTATTTCCAATCCAAAAATTCAAGGAAGCTTAATTTAGTAATACAATTTGATTTGAACCTGCCAAAACCCCCGAAAAAGGCCGATTTCTTGTACTGTTTCCGGTATATGTTCTTCTTCTTGTTCTTCACTTTAGGCCCTGCTAGAAGTGTCTATTACCCTATGGTTGGGGAACATGTTTGGATCCGTGATCCATGTCCGACACAAACTTTTAAGCAGACCTCTCTTTTCTTCGTTCTTTTTTTTTGCTGGTCAATTCCCCCGTGATGCTTGCCCGAATGCCCACGGCACCTTAATGGGGCGCCTGGTATTAAATGGATCTGTCATGACAATTCTCCTTTTAATTTTTCAGGAAAGATGCTGGACCATTATTACAAAATTGTGGCGGAAACAATGCAGGACTGCACTGCGAAGGCGGTCGTGACGTTCCTCGTCAATGAAGTGCGAGGATCGCTCAACACGGAGCTCTGTCTCGCTCTCATGCAGGGAGATTTGTTGGACCACTTGTTCAGCGAGAGGGACGACGTCACAGAAAAACGTGACTCCACTCTTCAGAAACTGGACGTGAGTTCAATTTACCTTAACATAGGGCCTAAAGTAAAGTGAAAAAAGTTACTTTTTAATATTTTTCAAATACTTGTCAGATGTCTTTCTTTCTGTTGCATTAACTCAGTACACTAAGAGTTGGGCCCCACCTCATTTTAGTTTCTGAGTTGTGCATGTTTAGCGTTAGCTTTTAGTCGTTTCTCTCAAATTCTCCTCACGACAAAGGATTAGCTACCACAGCGGTTCTCAACCATGGGGTCGCGAAAAAAAAATTGTGGGGTCGCGGCGAAATGGCTGGGGTAGCCTGGGGTCGAGGTGGTTTCCCGGCTGGCCTTCAGGCCGAGCACTGCCGGGAACACAAATTCACGGAACCTGGAAAACCCACTGCCTGTTTGTCGCTGCACGGATGCTTGAAGGCCTGCCAGCGCCGTGAGCAGGCGGGAAAATCCTTCTCGGAATTGTAGGTAGGGGATGGGGATCAACTCCTTGGAGGTAAGGACGCCTCGACGTTTCTCTGTAGCGATCTACAAGTCACATTGTTGCGGTAGCTGAGGCAAGAATCTCTGTATTCCCTATTTCTTCAATTTTTCTGGATATTTTCGGAAACGTTAAGTCTTTCCGGAAAATTAGAATCACTACACGTTTCACTTTTTTTTTTGGGGGGGGGGGGGGCAGGCGGTTGCATGGGGTAAAGAAATTATTCCTGGGGGTCGTGAATATTTTAGGCTACCAACTTGGGGTCGCGAGCCGAAAAAGGTTGAGAACCGCTGAGCTACCTAGTCTTCGGATTCTGGCAAATTAATCTATTTTGACATAGGAAAGCGATAGCGTTGCCCATTTCTTCATATCTCCCTTAGTTTTCCTGATAAACCAAGAACAAGACTGAAATAAGGCAAAATCTCTCAAATTTGAAGAAAAATAAAACTGGGCCTGGTAAAATAGGTTTTACAGCCTCTTCTGGCCAGAATCTGAAGACTGGGTAGCTAATCCTTTGTTGTGATGAGAATTTGGGAGAAACAACTAAAAGTTTACTTAACCTCTATATCAGAAACTATTACGAGTTGGGGCCCCCAACTTCGGAATTAAATTCATCTAATAGTGGTAAAACTTTTACCACAAAATGAACTTCCTTTGACAAACATTTCCAGGACTTGCTAGTTTCACTTTACAGTATCCTTAAATCCAAGCAAACTTGGCGCAGAACACCTCCAATGGCGTGACTAAGGAGAAAACTCAATCCATGAACGTAGAGATTACAGTTGAATTAGAAATACTGAGCACATTGATTGGGTTGTGATTCATACTTGTGAATTTCTTTCCTTAAGGTCCTCAAGAAATCCCTTGAAGTTATTGCTGGGATCGTCTATACCTAAAAGACTGCTGTGCCAAAGGAGAGTGTCGACCAACATGTTCTAATTTTTTACTTGTGACTCTTTAATAATAGAGTGTTATAGTGTGGACCATTAATGTACCAACTTTTAACTTGAATGTTTTCAATAAACATTTTATTGTTCTATTTTAAAAAAAACTTTGGTTGCGTGACCAGTTTTGGTTTGGCTTGCCCTACACGAGCAATCAAAACTCTCATCCCCAATAAAATCCACCTTAGATTTGATCCTGGTATGTCTCACTTCACTTCTTTCACTCCAATAAACAAATAATGAACAGTCCCTAGGAGCAACAATGTCATACAAGCCAGAAAAGGCAAAAACAAATTTATTCAATCCTTAATTTTGATTTATTTTGGTGCTTATGTCAAGGTAGGGGCTTTACACGACCCTGGGTGATAGGAATGATCCTTTCTACCCCCAATTAAGATAGTATCAACACAAACAAAGAAACCCAAACTCAAGGTGAACTAAAAAGTAATAATGGAATTGTTTTCAGCAAATTTTACTAGTTAACGAGGGATGTCAGGAAATTAAATTGGATGAAAATGCAATGCTTCAGCCAAAAGTTGATTTGTGGTTCAATGGTTAGCTTTTTCCAGAAGATTTGGTGCCCTTTTAACCATGAGAATGTTCCTCCTTGATAATCAGTGTTAAAACCCTGATGTGGTCTGGGGTCGTTGGACTTGTGAGCTAAACACATCAACAAAGTAATGATCCATTTATTTACGTTTTTTTGCAACAAGTATGTTCAACCACTTAGACTCAATAACTGAGCCTGGTTCCATTTGGTTTGTAAATTTTTGAGACTAAGAAACACTAAGCGGAAAAAGGGGATAACTCAATTTTCATCATTTTTCAATAGAAACAAAAAACTGTTTGCAGAGTAAACTTCATACAATTAGACGAATAATGCAGTTGCATTTTTGTCAAGAGAGCATAAGAAATAACTGTGAAAATTTTTAAAAGTGTAGCTTCACTCTGTAAACGGTTTCTGTGATTTAAATCTTTACGTTGGAATGGACTACGGAATCATGTTTACTTAGTTATCTCAAACAAGGTGGAATTCGGAGACAATTCAGGTGGAGCTGAGGTTAAGTTGAGTTGATTTCTTTTACATTAGACTCATAAAGACACAAGTTGAGTCATCTCCTTTTGCCATTTTGTGCAATGCAATTATGTGGACCTCAGTTGAGTTACCTCCATTTTCCAATGAAATTTAGACCGTAAAAGGGGTCATATTGAGTTCTATACATTTTTCATGTGGATTTTCACCAAAACTGTGAGGAAACAGGTCAAACAATTTGGTGTAATGATGCAAACCATTCTAACTCAATTTGGAGATAAGTCAAATTATTCCCTTCTTCCACTTCCTGGACCAACTGTGCAAACAACTTTTACTAAAAAAACATTTCAGAAAGCGACATATTTCTGCTAAATTTGTCAAATTTAGTAAAATGTAATATCTTAGATGTCATTTGAGCTGGCCAACTTTCCTCTTAGGTTGATAGGTCCTGGTGGTATGTATTGAACCCAGAAAGTTCGAACCGATTCCGTCACCCAACCCCAGATCTCGGTCCACCTTGGGCTGGAGTTACTCAATAACGGTATTTAAAAATCACTATACGTACAAGGTGTTTGCTGTCTAAGCACCTTTGGGACTGCATTGCATGGGAAATGGGCATAGGCGACACTCCATCGGCAAGGTGCTTTGTCCCCCAACAAATTGGGGCCGGGCAACAGCTCGATCCTTGATTCATCCAGTGGGCTGGACGGCATACAGGACATGAGCCCCGTCCCGTTTGAGCCCCGATGGTCTGAGCCCCGACCTGAGCCCCAACCTGAGCCCGGGTTGAGCCCCGACTTGAGCCCCGACCCAAGCCCCAATTTTCAGAGCCCGGATTGAGCCCCGACCTGAGCCCCGTTTGAGCCCCATTTGAGCCCCATTTGAGCCCCGCGACCTAAAATCACGCATTTTTGCATGATTTATTGCCACGGGGCTCAAGTGGGGCTCAAATGGGGCTCAAACGGGGCTCAGGTCGGGGCTCAATCCGGGCTCTGAAAATTGGGGCTTGGGTCGGGGCTCAAGTTGGGGCTCAACCCGGGCTCAGGTTGGGGCTCAGGTCGGGGCTCAGACCATCGGGGCTCAAACGGGACGGGGCTCATGTCCTGTATGCCGGCTGGACCAAAGGTGTCTCGAAACTTAGTGCCTGAAGCGACTCGAAATAATGCACCTTCAGGCGCTTCCTGGCGAAGCGCCGAAAAGCGCAAACGTTTCAGAGCACGCTTGAGGGACAGTAAAAGCCAAAAACCGACAGGACAGAGAAAAGTCACGCGAAAAGTCCACTGAACGCTATGAATATAGCACGTATGGTGCAATGCACTGAGATGTCGCACCATACGTGCAATGCGTCCCGAAAATGCCCTATGCTAATGCATGGGAATGGGAACTCTACAAATCAAAGAGTGTACATAGTATGCTCTAGCTGGAGCATGCCTGCAAGCACGCTCTAGCTAGCGCATGCCTGCCAAGCATGCACAAACTAGTGCATACATGCCATGTACACGCTAACTGAAACATACATATAGTGCATAAGGGATAGGGAGATGTCTGCAGCAGTTAGCGTGTACATGGCATGTATGCACTAGTTAGTGCATGCTAGGCAGGCATGCGCTAGCTAGAGCGTGTACCGAAAACTTGGCAAGATGTTTGGTCTCATGGCGCAGTGTGTTTGTCTGTAAGCCTTCAAGGGACAGGCTTCCCGGGACAGGGTTTTCCGGAAAAGAAGTCCGTGGCCGGCCCATCTCGAGCGAACAACCGTGCACGGTGCGAGCGTGCTTCCGAGCGGAAAATTCCCTCGGATGCGTTCGGGCGCCCTGGTCGCGTCCGGGCGCTTTCGGGTGCGGTCGGGTACTACGTTTACACGGGGGAGCTAGCCTCGGTCAACTCGAGGGGTGGGGGAGTGGAGGGGGTAGGTCTCGAGCTTGCCGGGGTCAACTCACGCGCATGAACACGTAGGTGGGTCAACGAGTTAGACCCCTCGAGCTACCCTGGCTAACTCGTGACCGAGGCTAACTCCAACGTGTAAACACCCAGGGAATGAGGTTGGTGTGCGAGTTTTTTTATTTGTCCCATCTATTTTCTATTATTATGAATCACCTTGAAATCTTAAAAATTGGGAAGCGTTTTCTTTGAGAAACTTAAAATTTACTACTATTTTAAGAATTTTATTTTATTTTACCATTTAACTATTGTTTTGAAAAAAAAATACCTTTGTTTTGGAAACAATTGACCTTTTTCGACTTAAACAAATTTTTTGGCTATCTTAGGTTTAGAAAGTCATCCCCACCCCCACCGGCCCCGTGAAACCGCTGCTGCCCTGGCGAGGGTGCTCCCCCATCCCCCCCCCCAGTTGACCGGGCTAGCTCCCCCGTGTAAACGTAGTAGGGGTTCGGGCGCGTTGCTCGGCTCGGCTCGGTCGGGGACTCCGAGTCGGGGTCGCTCGTCTCGGCCTCGGCGACCGAGTCGGCCTCGGCGACCGAGTCGGCCTGGGCTCGGCTCGTCGGTCGTCGCTCGTTCGGTTCGTCAGTTTGCAGTCTGCAGCCGGCGCGGCCACTTGCCTGAGGTGGCGGGTCCACATCCACAGGGTCTCCCTGAACTACGCGACGCCAGCAACGCGCCAGAGTGTTTTTCGTCGTGGCTGACTCAAGCTGAATGTGCACACTCAAGTCCTTAGATGTCCAGGGTTTGTACTTCAGGGATAGTTTTGTGCAGCCATAATACGGATGGATTTTGCATTGGAATTTGATTTTGTTGTTCTTGACACGAAGGTTTTGGTATCCGTAACTTGTCAGTAACGAATACCAACGTCCCTGGAAAACGGACAAAATCGTCTGTTCTACGAACTGAATTCCATCTTATTATGGCTGCTCTTAACTATCCCTAAAGTACAAACCCTGTATCAGTAAGGACCTCAGTGTGCACTCACGCGAGTGTGGAGCGCCGGTTTTGCCTGTTTTCACTGTGGTCGGTGCACTGCAAGGTCCTTCGGACACAGGGTTTGTTGGTTACGGATATTTTTGTGCAGCCACAATATGGACACAAATTTTTTAGTGATACTGACGATGTTCTCCGTAACACAAAGGTTTTGGTGTCCACATTACGGAGAGTTTCTTTGTAACTTACGCGGACATTAAAACTTTTGTCATACGGACAGGATCACCTGTATCACAAAGGAAAGCGTATTCGCATTATGGCTGCTCAAAGCTGTTCTTAACCCACGAGCCCTGGGTACGCACGGAATCACCTGTGCACGAGTTGGCCAGTTTGTGTTCGAGGACGGTCGCTCGTGGCAGTCACATTGGGCCGCTTTTTAGCAGCCAGGCTGGATTTGTTCCTCATCACGCGTTCACTTCCGCTAGCTATTAGAGTGTTGGTTGGTTTTTTTCGGATGGTATATTGCTGGCAAGACAGGCGCATTAGACATTATTGCAAAGGTTGTGGCGTCCTGAAAGTTCAACCATAAGATTGCTGCACCAAACCATCCGTAACGTACAAATCCTGTGTCCGTAAAAACTTGCACGGCAGAAAAAAAAACAGTATCCGGATTTCCCGGGCCCAACCTGGGAAAGGGTCCTCTTTTTCCAAGATGGGCCTGGAAAACCCGGACACTGTTTTTGCCGTGTTTATACGGACACAGGTTTTGTACGTTATGGATTGGTGCAGCCATTTTATGGTTTAACTTTCAGGACGCTACAGTCTTTGCAATCATGTCTAACGCGCCTGTATTGCAAACAATATGAGCAAAATCAACTAAGACGGACCACTTCTTCCGGTGACCCTCTCCGATTTGCCTGATTTTTTGTAGGCTTAATAACTACCTAAAGGAGAGTCAAAAGCCAAAATATTAGGTCCGGCAAAAATTTATTGACCGAGATATGGCCAATTTAAAGTTTAATTTTTGGGGGAAAAAACAAAAATTGGGTTTTGGACTAATTTTACACTTTTATGGGAGAGGGCTAAAATTTGGGCACCTTATGTAAAATTGACCAAAGGGAAAAAGAATATGACCTCAGATTTGACCCCCGACGAATACCTGCAGAGTAAACCCCCCAAAACCCTTCAAAACACCTAAAAAAA